TGCTATTTGTTGTTCTAGTGAGCTAGCATGATTATCACTACCTAGTACTCGCCTACGCACATTATCATTGCGGACACGCTGGTTCCATCCGACACAAGTAATGCTTCGCGGACAACGATGATCAAAGACTTGAAGACGCCTCAGATTTTCAGACCGAAGGGGCCAAGTCTCACTACCATAAAGCAGAACGGTCCTCACTAAGACCAGGTGTACACAGCCTTTCAGACGGAGGGAAACTCCCTCCTGTCGCCAAAGATGCCGCAGCTTCACGAAGGCGGCTCTGGCCTTTGCAGTGCATGAGCTGACATCAGTTTTTATGCGCCCATCGTTGCTGATGCAGCTGCCAAGATAAGTGAATTGATCAACCACCTCGAGTTCCTGGTTAGCAAGGGTCAAGGCGTTTTAAAGTGGCTGGTGGTCCTGCAGCAACACTTTGCACTTTGAAGGTGTGAAGTGCATACCAAATAATAGGACTACTCTAGACAGGCTATTCAGGGTTGATTGTGCCACCGCAACATCGTCGAAAAGCAAGACGATATCGTCCCTATAATCAAGATCAACTAATCTTTCACCAGGTAGCACTTCAACGTCTACATCTTGAGATTCCGCAAGGGAACACTCCATGACAGCATCCACAACCAAATTGAACTGACAAACGCCACTTATAGTCGGAAAGCTATCCGATAGGTCACCGTAGACCGTGACGTGGCCTGTAGTGTTCGAGTATAGAGCACGAAGGATGTTCACATATTTCGTGGGAGCACCTTTCCGCTCAAGTATTTCGAACAAAATGCATTGATCGATTGAATTTAACGCACTCTAAAAATCGATAAACGCAGCTATTGTCGGTCTGCGGCATACGTGGCGTTGCTCTAGCACCCACCGCAGAGTGAATTTATGGTCTATACAGCCACGTACTAGGCGGAAACCTGCCTTCTCTTCCCTAATCCGAGATTCCCGTTCTGCAGTGAGGCGACGAACTAGAATTGAGGTTAGTAATTTTGTCACAATTGGCGTTAAGCTTATACTCCTCTGATTAGAACAGTCTGTGCGACTACCCTTTTTGTATATTGCCACTATAATCGATTCGCTCCAATTAGCCGGGACACTTGCTTCCAGATACGCCCGAATAGTGAGGTCAGTTTTTTGCAGAGGACCTCACCTCCATCCTTAAATAGTGCAGGTGGGAGGGAATCCGGGCCAGCGGCACGAAAACGATTGAGGGCTGTGACCGCGTTTCGGACCCCGGCCTCCGACGGAGTCTCTAAATTAACTGTCCATGGCTTGTCCTGCATCACTTGAGTAGGAAGTGGTCCGGGTGCAGGGGACCAGCTGAATTGATCTTGAAAGTGTTCCGCCCAACGAGCCATACGGTTCTCCCTATGGTGTATCAGTGCACCTGCGCCGTCTCTGATTGTGTCACTGACGCCTTGTTTCCTTGGAACCAGTGATGCGGATCAGCTGAAAGAGCTTGTGGTAATTGCCTACTGCTCCTGCCTCCTCCATTTCTTGAGCCCCTCTGGTCACATTGTGCTCAGAGCCCGCCAGGTTTCTTCTAGATTCCAAAAGGTTCACCGACCTCTCGGATATCCAGTGGCTGGTGCGGTGACGATTGATAGTGCCACAAGCAGATGCTCCTATGTCGTGCATGACGGTCGAGATCCTATTCCACTGAAGCTCAGTGTCATTAGAACAAAACAGCGAAAGTTTAGTATGCAGTGCGTCTTGATAGGCTTGCGTGACCGAGGGCTGGGACAATTTCTCAGTTGCCAATAGAAGGTGACGCTTGGCGCCTCGCCGTAAAATTCATGAAGAAACCACAGTGTACCAAGGCATGATCTGAGTCGGCGCAGGTATTCCAGTACGAGCGGTAATGGGGTCAATTTGGGTCCATCGCTGGCCAGCTACAAGAGGACGCCAAGTGGCACTTCGGCGCCCACTGTATCTAAAAGCAGTGCTACTAAGAAGCAACTAGTGCTCTGCACACAGTTGCAGCAGACACTCTCCGTTGTCAGTCCGTTCGGAGTTAAGCTCATAATGACCACCCAGCTGAGTTTCCGAAGAGTTCAGACGCCCTAATTGTGCGTTCATATCCCCTGCAAGTACCATAATATCTGAACTGGTAGCACTGCGTAGTAGCGCGTTCAGTTCGTGATAGAATGTCTCTTTGGCAGCATTTGAACCGCAGTCAGTGGGTGCATAAGCGGAAATCACAAACAAAACGCGTTTTGTACTACTTCGTGAATCAACCTAAGATGATTTTAAACGGGCTGCACATAAACGGCTGTTCACCAGCATCTAATCAACCAACGACGGCTCAGCCTTGAATTTTGGAATGATACCTACACCAGCTTGACCCGTTAGCGCTGTATCGGGGTCTCCGGATGCGTGCAACCAATAACGAGAGGATAAAGTGGGTGCAGTTAATTCAACAACCTCATTAGAGTCATTGATCCTAGTTTCGGACACACAACACTCATCAATACCCCTTGTGTCCAAGGTGCGTGCGAGTGAAGCCTTTTGATCTATTTGTCTTAGAGTGCGAACGTTGCAGGTCGGCATGGAAACAGGACAGCGTGACCTTACAACGGTCTGTTGCCGATAGGCGTCCGGTGAGTGTCGCAAGAAGGTGGCTGCATGTGCTGTGACTCCAGTGGCATTTCGGTTGTTGGCAATTAAGTTGGAAATTATAGGAAGGTTAGTAATGAGGGTCGGGATGGGAATATGAGAGACAGGTGGAGAAGAAAGGAGGCGCCAGCACTAGGATGTTTTCGCTTATCCGCCCTGCTGTATGCAGCAGATAAGGCGACCCTTGATAATCTGCGCGACGGCCGATGCAGGATGAAGTTAATGTTGGAAGAAAAAGCCATGGTTGTATGTAGGCTGAGATACTGCCAGGGCGCCTAGACCTAGACAGGATGACGATTAGGGTCCTCATCCAAAGCCTTTGGCTCAAATGCCTGTCCGCAAGGCAGTGGGGAGGTAGCAGTGATTTAGTTTTACAGAAATGGACGCCATCCCATTTCAACCCCTCAACCTGGAGGACCTGGACACTGAGTTTGTCTGGCCTGTAACTATTGACCAAGCTGGTAGGAGTAGCCCTGAAGTTGCCCGGAGGCACCACCCAGTATAGCGCAATAGGTCATGGAGGTACACAAACCGTCACACCACGCTAACGTCCAGTCTCCATGCGACGGACCAGTCTTGTTGCGACGTGTCCAGTCTTGTTGCGACGGGGTCCAGTCTTGTTGCGAACGTCACTCTGACGGAGCTGTGGAGGGGTGCGCGCAGGATATTAGTATTCTTTTCTGGGACCCCATTCCTTAGCAAACAACGCCATAGCGCAGGTCCATCAACCGAGTCGAATGCAGCCACGATGCAGCAGATTTGGTGGTGTTGAATCTTCTTCGCGACGGCCAGAGCATCAGAAGTTTGGATAAACTGTCAGGTTTCTCGGTCATGGATAGGCAGGCGATTGCATTTATCCACCAAAGCCTGGCCGCAAGGCATTTGGCTGGATACACTAGCTGACATGGCTACTAGCCGACCTCATTGGCGTTCTTGCTGTGAGTTTCTTTGTCCCTCCCCCTCCAACCACGATCTCATTTCTTAGCACAATTTAATTTGGCGTACTATATTTTGCTGCTTAGTAGCCGACTGGTAGCTTTCAGGTACGATGCCCATTCGTTCCTGGTAGTTCAGGTGGCATGCATTTGTTGTATTTTTTGGTGTATTGTGGCACAGTAGCTGAGCTGTTTTCCACCTCTATCTAACGTGTATTATAATGATGATGATCGCAAAGCAGCATGAATTGGTCACTGGACTACAGTCTTTCAAGGAATAAGGAGCCGCCCCCTCCAACATCCAACTTCGTATGCCAGGCAAATGAGTTTGTTTGGCCAGTCTCATGACTGGCTCTGAAGGTGCAAGAAACACCATCCAGTACAGTTCATTTGATCGTTGATACAGCTCATCTGTCGCACCAAATCAAAAGAGCCAGTCTTGTCGCGCTGAGACTATCCCACCGTTTCGGTCTTGCTTAGAAGCCCTTTGTGTATAAGCATTTCTTACTATCTCTGAACCAGTTTAGGACGGCGTGCTTTACCATCACTGTGGGATTGCTAACCTAAGAATGTTTAGGGATCCAAACTGGTAGAATCTATCTAGCATTATGCCACGGCTGTAGGGGTGCAACGGTGCGGTCCATTAAAGCAGACCTTCAGTGTCATAACGATCTTTCACTTCTTGCGGACTTACTCTTCTGTACTGGTCAAAAGCGGAGAGCGGTCTTGGAACTCGTGTGGCACTCACTTTTCGTATCATCAAATGATATTGAGTATTCATGCTTTCTGGTCCCAAGGAAAGACCAAACACGTTCGGAATCTAGCTATAAGTTGTGTGACGACAAACTGCTCAGTGCACTGAACGTTCCGAGGAATGACAGCTATGTCCTGGAATCAATCACGACCGAGATCGTCGTCTCACTATGATTGTGTGCCTTTTCACCATACGGTGACCGAAGTTTTCTGTAACTTTCAGCTGGTTTTACGCCTCCAAATATGCAACCACAACACGTTGTTTTATGTGCACGATCACATTGCTTTCCGACACCTTGCATAATTTATGTGGCTTATAGCAGTAAAGGGATGCAGTTACCAGTTTCTACTGCACGTAGTACTTTCCAATAAAGATCTAGATTTTGGACCTACTATCGAATAATCCGTCGTTTGTTCATTACAGCAATCAACCCTTTGGCGTCAAAAATCTGACTAGGGTAACTGTTACTAATGCTATGCGGCATATGAAACACACATTAACACACACGATGACTTGCACACGGAGCCATTGCAGTCTTGGCAGTCATGTTTCTGTGAAACTGAAGTATGACCTTCTGATCTTTATGTTTCGACTTCCGCCTATTGCTGTAAATACATTCAGTTTCGGTTGCCTGCCCAGTTTCCTCTTATCAGTAACCACTCGCGAACCACTTATTTGTTTCAGGTGCAAATATTTGGCTATTGTTGTCAGAATGAGTTCCGACGCACGAGACTTCACAAGGCGACCGAAGAATTCTCCTTTTTTCCAACAGAAGCTGCCGGCATGGCAACCCATGTTTACAGCTAAGAAATCAACTGTTTGTTTCCTCGTTTCTGGGTTACTTTTGGTACCGCTGGGAGCTGTGTTACTCGTCGCTTCAAACTCCGTTGTAGAACACACCGTTGACTACACCGATTGCATCGAGTCCGGTGGCACACGTCGGTGTTCCGAAGCTATGTTCCCCGGATCCAATTGCAGTTGTGAAGTTTCGGTGCATGTCCAAACTCCCATTTCGGTGCGTTTCCTTTCACCCCATAACTATATTTTCCAACCTAGGGCCCAGTATATCTGTATTATCAGCTGGAAAATTTTTATCAGAACCACAGGCGCTATGCTAGATCGATGAGTGATTCACAGCTTCTTGGATCACCGGTTTCGGTCGACTCCCTATCGTCCTGTGACCCGTACGCTTCGGTCACCAATATCAGTGGGACTTTTGCATTCCTACCTTGTGGAGCGGTGGCAAACAGCATCTTCAATGATACCTTTGTTGTAAAGTATAAAGGAGTCTCAAATGCTTCTGATATTGTGGTTCCGATGACGAACAAGGGTATCGCATGGAAATCGGACGTTGATCGAAAGTTTGGTGTCCTCACACCAGCAGGTATGTTATTTTCACTTGGGTAATTTTACTAATAACTAGCGCTGTCCAACACCGTCAAACCACCGAATTGGCCCATATCAATTATGGAACGGTCTCCGGGTGCCTTCATAACAGACGAAGAGTTAATGGTGTGGATGAGGGTAGCTGCCCTTCCCACTTTCAGGAAGCTTCATAGAATAATCCTTACCCAGAACGAGTTTAAGGATGGACTTCCTACCGGAATTTACACCATCTTAATCAATTATGGTACGTTGACAGCTGTGTACCTGTGCCTTATGGCACTTTCGGCTTGGTCTGCTGACCGTACGTCGCTTGTTTGATGTATATTTTCCGATAATTGGCCATACCTTTTATGGAGACGTCATAAAAATTTGTATTTTCACCCCACGTATTCCTAACTGGTCGTTTCAGTACGTTACAATTATTCCAGTACTTTGATTTTCAGCTCTATTAACAAGATAGATAAGTAATGTCTAAATCCCAGCGTTGCGTGGAGCGACACCAAAACATCTCCAATATCTAAAACCGTTTTATTTGCGATACATTCGCTGACCTACTTTGTTGGTATACAAGATGAACCAGGTGCATCATGCGCTACATTTCAGCAGGATGCAGTTCTTTCTCATATCTTTGCTTTTAATGCTCTGGCAACCTTTCTCACCATATGGACGCTTAGTTGTTAGTTCCAGCAGACTGATAATCTAGTTTAACACCGGGAAGAAGAGGGTATCTCTTCTTGCTAACGGCCGGAAAGATGGCTTCGTTCTGTTTGACCTCTATTAGCGCCCGTGAGATTGCCGATGAGGTCAGGAACCAGATAGTAGAAGCTCGAGGTATTTTTACCAATCTCCGCCATCTGTGGCGCCGACGCGACATCACTCTCGCCTTGAAAGACAGAGTTTACAATGCAGCCGTCCGTTCAACCCTCCTGCACGGTTATGGAACATGGCCCATCAGATCGTTAGACGTAAAGAGGCTAGTTATGTTCGATCAACACTATTTTTGCAGCCTAACCCACATCTGGTTGGAGCACCGCGTAAACAATGCACGTGTTCGGCGTTGTGCATTTGGTGCATGAAAAGCAAGTAAACGGCTCAGCACCGTTACATCGCGCACCAGGCTCCGATGGCTCGGTCACGTGTTGTGCATGCCAGCAGACCGACTCCTGAGACTACGTTGTTTGCGCGCCTGAGGTTTGGATGGAAGAGGAGAGGAGGCCAAGCAATTACTCGCTCAATAGGAACGAAAATCCTCACTTTGAATTTGGCGTCGGTTGGTTCATCCCGATTGCCGGGCTAGGGTCCGAAGGACGATGAACACCTTTGGTTGGACACACTTGCTGAAATGGTAAAGAGCCGGCCCTAATGGCGTTTGTGTTATGAGTTTCTTTGTCCATTCCTATTCCTCTTAGATTCCTGGTCCAATCATAGCAAATTAATAACATTTTAAGTAATATTATATTAGCATCTTCTGTTTTTGTATTGCGGCACATTAGCTCAGGCGTGTTTCTCACTTTGAGCTAATTTGTATTCATGATGGTGATGACCTCGCTTGGTTGGGCGACTCGTCCTGCGTTAACGCTTTGTGGTGATCAGCCAGAAGTTGTTCATAAATTTAAGTACCTGGGCAGCTATATTAGCACCCGTGGGATCGAAGATGAGGTTACGAGCCGTATAGCAAAAGTTCGAGGTGCTTTTGCCAATCTCTGCCACCTGTGGCGCAGGCGCGATATTACTCTCGCCCTGATTGGCAGAGTTTATAATGCAGCCGTCCGTTCAACCCTCCTATGTGGTTGTGAAACCTGGCCCATCAGGTCGACAAACATAAGGAGGATCGTCACGTTTGATCATCGCTGCCTTCGCAGCTTAGCTCATGTCTGGTGGGATCACCGCGTGAGCAATGAGCGTGCTCGGCGTCGCGTATTTGATGCAGAAATAGCGAGTGAACTGCTCAGCACAATTACATCACGCAACAGACTCCAATGGCTGGGCCACGTGTTGCGCATGCGAGCACACCGACTTTCGCGACGTGCATTGTTTGCCCGCCGGGGGTGCGGTTGGAAGAGGAGGAGGAGAGACCAAGTGATGACTTGGTCGAGACGAATGAAAACCTTCACTTCGAAACTGACGTCGGTTTGTGCAGCCCGACTGCGTGGCTGGGCTCCTAAGGACGATGAACACGTTTGGTTGGACACATTTGCTGCTATGGCGAAGAGGCGGCCCCAGTGGTGTTTGTGTTGTGAGTCTTTTTGTCCATCCCTTAAGGTTTCCCCTCCAATCCCGATCTCATGCGAAATGCACGATATAATATTTAACGTCGCATTTTTGTAGTGTATTTTTTGTAATTTGTAATGTAATTTTTTAGTCTTTTTTGTATTGCGGCACATTAGCTGAGGTGTTTCTCACCCTCCGCTAACGTATACTGATGATGATGATCATCATCATCTCATAGCACACTCTTGCTCTACAGCACCAACGGCTTTCCTAATCACATGTTTCAGGATAGTTTACTTGGATCTGGTTATTTTGAAGCCTTTGTCACAGGTAGACCGCCTCAACTGGGAGTCATCCTGTGGTCACTGGTCCGTGCACACGCGCTTTTTGTGTGTGCAACACCGTTTTCATGATTAGCTTAATTCCAATATATCGTGACAATCAATTTTGCTAATGTCCTTTCTTTGACCCACAGCATATCCAGTTAGCGGTTTTGGTGGCCGCAAGTCCTTCATAATCGGTAACGTCAGTTGGTTAGGCGGCAAGAACATTACCCTTGGCGTCCTTTGTATTCTCACCGGATCACTCCATCTTGTCCTGAGTGGCGCATTCCTTTTGGTTTACCTCTACTCCAGAAGACTGTAAGTCGTTGATGCTGTTCCTTTTCTTTTTCATATCACTCAACAATAACCTTCATTGCCACATCATTCTCTGCCCCTCTAAGTACCCTTGCCACACTGCTATCTTCTGTTTTGACGCTTGTATTCACACGTCTAGTAAGAGGCGCAGTGTGCTAGTATGATTCACCTGCCTTGCCTATAATCATGCTTCGACCGTCGCGCAGCATTAAAAATGCCGCCTTGTCTGCTGCATACTTCCGAGCAAATGATGGAAAACCTGCTACGGCTGTCACCTTCCTTTATTCTTTTCCACCTGTTTCTTCTATAATTCCCAACTTAATTGATAGCAACTTCAACACCACTAGAGTTCTGCCATCTGCAGTTAATTTATCGCATCACCCACTAGACTCCTATCGATAACAGCCTCTCATAAGGCACACTTTCTCTTTTCCCTAACAGCGTTCAACTTAAGCACTTTAAAACAAATATGTCAACAGGCACATTAATCACCCTGGATGTCGACATGTGTTACGTGTCCGAAATTAGAATCACTGACCTTTTCGTTGTTGAATTAGCCGCTCCCGGTCATTTTTGTCGTTGTTGATTGCACACACCCGAAGATGCTAATGCAGCAACCATTGGTTAAACTTAGATGTACTGGTCCAAGGAAACACTGACGGAACATTTCAGACATGTGTATATCGAAAGAAGACCCACACAGACCAAATATCACACTATTACAGCAACCATCCATTGAACCACAAGAAAAGCTGCATTCAAAGCCTTTTCAATAGGGCCGAAACACACTGCAGCACGACAGAATTGAGGAAGAAGGAAGAGAACCATCTATACCGGGTATTGCAAAACAACGGGTATCCAAGAAACTTCATCAGAAGAAGCCTAAAGAAGAAGGTGCAGCAACAACAGCAGGAAAACATAGATAAACGGATAGCGCTTCCTTACATCAAGAATGTATCTGAACTAACGTCAAGATTACTACGACCACATAGAATCTTGGTAGCCCACAAACCAACTGGTACTTTGCGAAGATTGCTTTCAAGACCGAAGGACAAAGTTAAACAAGGCAGTCAGAATGATGTCATCTACAAAATTAACTGCAAAGATTGTGACAAACACTACATCGGGCAAACTGGAAGGAAACTGTCAACACGGATCAACGAACACAGAATGGCCATACGGAGACACGACCCGCATTCACTGGTTTCCATGCATGAAGACCAAGAAGGCCACCACTTCGACCTAGAGAACGTTAAGATCCTAGCCCGTGGAAATTCGAGGCAAGCTAGAGAATTCTTGGAAGCATGGTATTCTACCGACAATTCAATAAACCGACACGTTGAAATAGATGCTATATATACAGCACTACGGATGAAACATCACCGAATTAGTAGAATAAATCTAACAGAACGGAACGCCAGACTACTGCATCAAACGACGACAACCGAAGAGTCACGCGCGCGTACACTACAAGGTGAGAATCAGAGATCGATTTCGATGGTCATGTGCTTGTCGAACAATCCAAACTCAGACTAGCGGCTAGGAGATCGATCACTCACACTCACTGACGCTTCGTACGCGCCACTCTGCTAATTACACGCGCACTGACGATGTCACCTCGAGTGGTGACGAAACGTTTGCAGTCAACCTGCCGAGCTCAGCGAACACTGAGACCACCAACTGAACAACCTGAGCTACCAACCTTTGCTTCCATATCGCAGCTATTTGGGCTGGTTATTGTTCCCAGTCCCAGTTCTAAGTTCTCGTTGCCTGATTAGATTCTCATTAGCAGTTATTTATGCGTAGCCCGTTTGATGACATCAATTAAGGTGGCTTCACGAAGAGGCACTACATACTCTTTGTGGTTACCATAATAACATCGAGTTTCAGCTGCCATGCACGATGCGGGAGCCACCGCACTAGTCAAGATGTCTCCAAGATGTGGATGAACCACTTGGAATCCAGAGGAAGACTCCTGGCTGCTTCTGCGCACAGTCTAACCAGACGGACTGTTAGACTCGAACTAAAATGAAGCCTGCATGCTGACAAGGAGGCCTGGTGCATCAATAGAGCTCGAGAAAAGGAGGAAACGGAAGCAGTAGGCAATTACCGCAAGTTCTTCCAACTGATCCGCACCACTGGTGCCAGCGAAACAAACTGACAGCACCGAAACCCTACTTTATAACTAGCAGCACCGTCTGTCTCGTTCGACAGAGCACTTTGGAACACAGTTCAGTTGGCCCCATGCGCAGGTAACGCAGCCTGAGTTATGGCCGACTAGTTTGTGCCCTATCTGAGGCTGAAGCCTGAAACGGTGGTTAGCGCATTCGGTGTGTGTATGTATGTCAACAGTCTATTAACGACACAGAGCCAGCAGATCAGCAAGATTCATTGCGGCATCATCATCATGCTAGTTGAAGGTGTTGAAGGTGAGCAACACACTTCAACTAATATGCCGCAGGAAGAATGGAACATTTTGACAAAAAGTAGAACGAAACATTTTTAGTTTGTTTTTTCACACGCCACTTTTGCTCTTTTTTGTCATTTGCAATGTTTGTAGTATTAAACATGTGAATCACTACAATACTGTACACAATTCTTCCACTGATTCCGGTTGAGGTCCATAACTTTAAGAGTGCTAAGCCATTGGCACTCCTCATCTTTGGGTCCCCATCCTGGAAGACGTACGGATCCAACAGCGGCTAGGCACGACGTCAGCGATTTCATGTTCGGCCGCCAAGTGGAAGGCTGACCACCACGCGGTCGCCTCCAGCCAGTTCCTTGACGAGCGAATAGAGCGCGACGCGGTTGACGCTCCGATGCCATGCGTACGACGTGACCGAGCCACTTCAACTGGCGCAACAAAACCAGTTCGTTGAAGGGAATACTCGCATTCCCCAAGATGCGACGTCGAACGTCATTACTATTAACTCCATGTTGTCACCAAACACGAGCGATCCTCCATAAGTAACCGTTATCGAAGGCAGAAAGACGACACATGTCTTCCACGCAGTCAGTGTTGAAGCAAGTGACTTGGTGGTAGTGCTATCCGGGAATATTGGTTTTGAGGGGGGCTATGGTAGCGACACGCAAAGGTCATGGACATGTTGGTGATGTGCTTGATGTTTGGTATTGCCCCATCAACCATGATATACAAGCACAAGCAGATTTTCGTTCCTAAGGCAACTCCGAGAACCCAAACGGTGCGACCGCCTTGCCAGAATCTAAGGTTGGTAGTAATTCCTTATGTTTTGTTTTGTCCATAGTTCAAGACGATGATGCAGTGTGTGTTGCATTTTCCACATTTGATTTCAATGACTTTTAATTTGCTCTTACGTTAACGATTGCTGGCGTTAATGACTGGCACTGTGTTTTTAATTGGCGTGACGGCAGAAGTCAATAGTGGCCCACATGCCGGAGTAGACATGGTGTCCAACACAATCAGGCAACCGTCCAGTGAGGTAGTCGTAACCGCTGCATTTGGAAAGGTAGTCGAGCTGACTAGACTGATAAGCGAAGTGCTTTGTGGAGTCGACAGAACTTGACACGAATCGTTAAAGGAGATGAAGAGGTTTGGAGTCCTGAAGAACTTATCAAACAGTGTGATGCTTGAGGTGCACAAACGCAGTTGGTGCATTTTGTCTTTGTTTACACTACAACTGTACCAGCTCGTACCTAATGCATTGAGCGGGGTGGATAGGGGTAAGGATGCTGTTGCTCAAACCTTCCCGTCTTCTTATATCCCCTCTCGCGCTTTGTCACTGTTATCCTCCCATTTTAAACGTATGTCTTCTAGTTCCCGCTCAATAGCAATCGCAAGACGTAGCTCCAATGCAGCCGACAAGTCCAAGTACATGTTAAACCAAACTGAAAACGTCAGTCCATCCTTTTCTCTTTGGAGTCCTCGCTAAGAGTGCCCACCTCAAAGTGGGCACTTTGTTACAGACTAGTCAACAGGCAGCATTCACCCGAACACCAGAAGATCTATCGACCGACATTTGCTTTTACCGGAAACCAGACTTCAAGACTCAAGCTCTGTACTCACCCCGCGATCCCCACATGCGAGACCGACGGCACTTTCTCTTTGAGTTTGGCCGGAGATGACGTAGCGTCAAATGACGATCAAGCGGTTGTGGACATTGCTCTAAGCCTTCTGACCTGGTAGACTGGATCCCAATCAACAGCCGGATGTGCGCTATGAGATTGATTGGCTTGTTCAAAGCTTTAAAGTTGCGCGCAGACAAGCGGTGTCTGTTTGTAATGGCGGACTACACTTCCACAAACTGCAGCGTTGATTCGGTGAGAGATGGCTGATCGAGCTCTTTAAAAAAAACAATACACATACTGTGGTGCTTGCTGGTGATCTGAACGCCTAAGTTGGAACACTGCCCTCTGATGAGCTTCATCTAGGCGGCCAACATGGTGTAGGCTTCCGTAATGATAGTGATGAGTGGTTGCCACATCTGTGTGAAGATGCTCGCCCATATCGCGCAAGCACTGAATTCCGACACAGCATCCTCTGGAGAGTGACACAGTGCACACCAATTTCGGACCAGCCATTGGTGCAAGTCACTCACATCGCGATCAGGTATCACTGGAGACGCTGGTTCTAAGACTGTCTGTCGGTCTGTAGGAAGAGCGTGGACTCCCAGCGTCCACTTGTACGTAATGATTTGCTAATGCGTTTCCCTGGACATGTGCAAAGACGCTCTGAGTGCATAGACATCAGTCAACTGGCGAAGCCAGGTTTTCTGAATGCGTACCAAAGTACCCTGGCCTCCGAGCTGAGTAAACGCCCACTGGACCTAGTTAAAGATCACCAGTCGCATATCCGCCAGATGTTATTAGCAGCGGGCATGTTTTCAGGTGGCAAATCAAATTGTTAACTTAGAGACTGGGTCTCTACACAGTCTCTGGAACCTATGGATGCTTGTCGACAAAATTGTGTGCTAGCCTGACGAGAGACCGCAGAGCTTGGTGGCCTCATCGTTCGTTGGAAATGG